CGGGGCCTGCTGGGAAATGGAGTCTCCCGCCGGCTCTGGGCGGGCGCCGCGCATGCGCAGCGCTCAGCGACTACTGGCGCGGGGCAGAAGAGGAGGGTCCGGTTCTGACCGTCTCCCTAGCAACGCTGCTGAGCCCGCGAACCCCGGGAGCAACCGCCCCCCTCCCCGTCATGGGATCCCGCTCGTGCTCTGCGCCTGCTCCGCCACTTTTCCCGAGGCCCCCACCCCCTCAGTGGTTTGAGTGTTAGCCCCCCCCCTAAACCCAGGGTTGTGAGTTCAATCCTTGAGGGGCCACTTAGGGATCTGGGGCAAAATCAGTACTTGGTCCTGCTAGTGAAGGCAGGGGCAGGACTTGATGACCTTTCAAGGTCCCTTCCAGTTCTAAGGAGATAGAATATCTTTATTTATTTACCCCCTTTCCCCGAGGCTCCGCCGGGCTCCACCCCTTTCCCCAAAGCCCCGTTCTCTTTTCCCTGATGCCCTGCCCCGGCTCCGCCCCTTTCCCCAACGCCCCGCCCCTCGCTCCTCCCCTTTCTATGGGGCTCCGCCCCATGCCCCTCCCCTTTCCCCAAGGCCCCGCCCCCTGGGCAGAAGCTGGAGCTGCCTGGGGAGTCTGGGCCACTCTGGGGAACCCCAGATCCTCCCCCTGCCCTGGGTGCTGCGCCCTGGGGGGGGACACGGGCCAGGGGTGGCTATTACACCAGATGCTCAGGGAGGCAACCCCAGCGCAGCTTCGTTTGCGTAAGAGCCTTTGGTGAGGGACCTTGTCAATAGGGTGACCAGATGTCCCATTTTTATAGGGACAGTCCCGTTTTTTGGGACTTTTTCTTATATAGGCTCCTATTACCCCCCACCCCTGTCCCGTTTTTTCACAGTTGCTATCTGGTCACCCTACTTGTCAAAGGGCTTCTGGAAACCTAACTCCACTTGATCCACTGGATCCCCCTTGTTCACAGGCCTGTCGACCCTCTCAAACAATTCTAGTAGATTGGTGAGGCCTGAGTTCAGGCTTACAGACCTGTCATTGCCGGGATCACCTCTGGAGACCTGTTTAAAAATTGACGTCGCATTAGTTATCCTCCAGTCATCTGGTACAGAAGCTGATTTAAATGAGAGGTTACAGACTACAGTTAGTAGTTCTGCAATTTCGCATCTGAGTGCCCTCAGAACTCTTGGGTGAGACCATCTGGCCCTGGTGACTTATTGCTGTTTAATTGATTGATTTGTT